ACGCTTTGGATAAAAGCTACTACTATAAAAAAAAACCTTAATAATAAACAACTTTTTTTGTTCTACAAATAAATGCACACAACTCAGATTTTAATATCAGTAGTCTTACCTTTCTAATGCGATGGATGTGCCCTCTCTCCTCCGCCACGGCAACCCCTGAGCTGATGCTGGGAAGGAGGGGGGTCTCTCCCCGGCAGCCACAGCCCTGGAGCTGGGGAAAATCGCCTCTTTCTCTGGTCACTTCAGCCCTGCATGTCCCAAATTACCCCCACTCCATCTTCCCCCTCCCACTTACCCCCCATTCCTCCCAAGGCCACCACCTCACCTTACATGTGCATCTTCTCCAGAGTCCAGGCACCTAATTAGTGGAGCCACATCTGCATGGCTCCATTAATTAGGTGGGTGCCCCTTCATTCTTTTGTGTGCCGCCGCCCAGGTGCGCACCTTAGAGGGAACTATCCGGGAACCACCTGAATGGAGCTTGGACCACAGTTTGAGAACCTCTGCCTTAGTATATCCTGACCACATATAGAGCTTCTTACTAAGGCCATCGTGTGTCTCATAGCGATGGGAAAGAGGAAAGGAACAGATTCTCTGCATTTACCTCCTTAAAGGTTCTGTGTTACAGAAACTCTGGCCGTGGCGCCTACCAGAGCCCATCAATGTTGCTCTGAGAGGTGGCCACAGGGGGTCAGTCATAACCAATGTCAGGCACTCCCAACTCTTCCCACAAGTCCTCCACTGCACTGCCAGACTGAAGAGCTGGCGGGACCCGAGCTCCTCAACACTGACCGTGCCAAGCCAAGCTTGAGGGAGAGTTTGGAGACAGAACTGCACATTTGTCCTGTTCCCAAACTGCTACCATGGCCTTGTAGCTCGTATATACTAATCCTCGTGTCCCCTTGGTCCTAATTCTCTAGCCATGGAAGAAAGAGCAATTCACCGAGCAGAACGGAGGAGGGAACTGGAAGAGGCCAAGAGAAAAAGAGAGGAGGAGAAAATGGTAAGTAAAGCCGAGAGTTAAACTGAGACACTCCATCTGAGAGCGTGGCTGTGAAAGGAAACCCCTCACAGTCAAGTGCAGGGAAAAGCACCTCCTTCATTTACATGATGAACTTGAGCCCATTGGTAAGTGTCTGATAGACACCCCAAAAACAGATAAAAAACCCTATCACAACAGGACATCCCCCCCACACAACCTGGTGAGTGATTGACCTCCCTGCTGGAGCGCTGAAGGCATTCATTTCCCCCCACTTCTGCCCCTCTTCCAAGCCCCTCCATCATGCCTATTAACCTTCCAGCCAAGGAGGATGGGGTGGGATTCTCTTCAGAGCCCATCAGTTCCATTACCGAATGGTCCACATGGGTCACCATTGAGTGATGTGAAATACTAGACTCTCTGCTTCTCTTGCTCCTGTGATGAACATGCTGCATCTTCAGCACTCCTAGAAATAAGAAATCTCTTATGCATCCGGGAGAGTCCCTGAAAATCCTGGGCTCATCCAAAGTGTCACCATCTCTTCGCCTGCCAATCCGTCTCTCCCTCCACAAGGTCCTTAAACCTAAGGAAAATGGTTGGATTTCTGATTTTTGTTATCATAGACGGGCTCAGATAGGGTTTTTCCCCTTGCTCCACCCATTTACATGCAGCCAGGTGTGTGGTTTTTTTCTACCTTCCTCTGTAACATCAGGACGACACAGAGCTTGATGGACCTTTGATCTGATCCAGTACAGCAAATCCTAGAGTTCTTTATTTAGTAGCAAATGTCTGCCAGCAAGTAAGGATGATTTACCATGTATGTGTGTGTCTGTGTAATGAATGTGGTTAGCCCCACTCTACCCCATGGAAAGTATTTTCCAGGATCTCCAACCTGTGTATCCTCAGGCACCAGTTTCAAACAAATGCCTGGAAGGTTAGAGGCAGGAAGGGAGTTGTTTAGATGTGAATTATCTTATTATAGGGGAAATAAATCCTGAAAGTCAGAAGATCAGATAATCCACATGAAATCCTGAGCCCAGCTGCTTTCAGATGAAGCAGCATCTCACCAAGGACCTGAATTAGGTGGAATGGAAGGAGGCCAAGCCAGTCTCCATGGTTCTTCTATCACAGGTGCTCTCGTGGGTGTATAGTCTCTGCTAGAAACTGTCATAGATGTTCCTTTGACAGAGGGGCCCTCTTAAATGCAACCAACTGTTACTATAATGCTGAGGTTGTGATGTTATCTGCACTGAAATCAGGAAGTTCAGAATAAGGATCCTCCAGAAAATGATATTTTGCTTCCTGTGGGAGGGAAGTGGGTAGAAGAGGCTTAACCAAACCGTAGAGAAGGTTTTAATTGGTGGGCAGGCCAGGATCCAGATTGTTTCACTGTGTACCCAAATAGGTTTGCCCATCTGTGACTGACACGCCTTGAGGGCTTAGGCAGTGTGGTTTTTGGTTCTTTGATGTGTGTGCTCAAGGTGACAGCATTGTTGAATTGAAAG